TAACCAGAAACTCTCTTGGAGTCATCCTGACCTCCGCTAGTAATCTGATATCAGGACATATATGTCTACTTTTTCTTGTATTTCGAGAGGCTGTATAACGTGGTAGAGAGGACGCGTTGAATGTAGACGAAAATGACTTCACTGCAGTCATTTTCGTCGTAGGAAGTTCCTGTGACTCCTGGTCGATGAGTGCAGTTAAAAATAGTGAGAAAAGGCACGAGAGGAATACGCCCATTTCTCTTAATATACGTGCGCCTATACATATAGACATGTGGTACATGCGGCGTATAGTCAAGCAGTGAGGATGTGAATTTGGAGGAAAAATGTCGGACGGGGACAACGCGTGAACGGAATTAAATCGTAATGCAGATTAGACAGTCTGGCACGTTCACGGTGAAAATGGTTTAAATTGTCGGGAGGATTCCGGATGCGACATTGGCCAGGATCAATCTGCATGCTGAGTAAAATGGAGAAAATTACTGAGGGAAAAAGTAGGCACTTACGGAATTTCAGAGCCGGCCATTGTCGTATTGTGTGAAAAACCAACGGTACTAAATATTTATTAGCCGTTCAGCCATTTGTCAAGAAGTTTTCTCGAGATTGGTATGAAAAGATTGCCACGGCATATATCTACGTATATATCCAAGAGAGAAGTATCCCGAATGTGGAAAATTGTGGATTAGATTTGTAGCAGGCAGAAAAAGTTTCGGCTTTGAAAACTATGCCAGAGGTTTTCTTCGTGTCTCAGCCCGGACACACATACGAACACCTCGTGAACTTATGCATGGAGGCTGTTGAAGTTAGAGAACAAATGCGAAAGGCAACCTTGGAAAATGGTCTCCGTGAATATTTCGTTGGAAAGTTTTGAGCTCGCTCTTGTAATCCTATTAAAGTCGCTAAACTTCAACGTGAAGCACGCGTTCGGTTCTTGTCGATCTGACGGAGACCGAAACTCCTATGCGACGTGTAAGCTCTGCATAATGCTTACCGATAGTTTTTCGTCGACGAACAACGTCATCATTTGCCTATTGCAAGTTCCTATCCATCGGTGTTTGAGTCTGCGCCAGTTGCGAAGTAGAATTGACCACGATTACTCGAGTCGGAAATGCTAGTCACCGGGAAAACAAGGGTCGCAGCTCATTGGGGCGGCAACCTTTTTGTCGTTAGATTCGACAAATCCGCCGGATGTTACATGTACCGTTCGTATACATAACCATGTGTGCTTCTCAATCCTCCTACTGTACCTCCAATGAAGCGTGATACGATGTTCCCGCAGAAAATTCCTACAAAGAAAACACTAAAGAAATCAAGGAAAAGAAATGACAAACCAAATGTAACACGTTAAAAAGATTTTTAATTGCAGTTGTATTATTATATCATAATTTAATTCTAATTGGATTATCGAGCAGTCAAAATAAGATTTGCATAATTTTTTTTCTACCTAATTTAATCAATTTCAACATCTCGGATTTACCAGCTTGGGACTGCATCCAATGATACATATCTTTCAGATGCATATGACACTCGACCTAAGAATTTAGAACTCTTGGCTGCACGTCTCCACTTTCCTTTTACGGTTGAATCCTCTCTATTTTCGCTGATGCGACGATCTGCCTATCAGCATATCTCTGAAGCTAGATGACTGGGTAGTCAACGGCAGATGAGATACGACATGGCCTAGGGTAACATTAAATCAGATGATCCACATATCGCGCTACTCTCAGCGGGCTGTTAGTGCCAAGTATAGTGATCCTATCTTATATAGGGTGGTCTCCATACTACACCAATCATATAGATCTCTCTTTGTAAACGACCTTCGAGAATTTCAATAGGTATATTACGCGTCAGGATCTTTCACTTTACAGTGTTCTCCTTTCTCCTGCTTCGAGACCAGCATGACACCCTTGTTACGTCTCGTAGCCTGAACATGGTGTTCATTAAGATTCACGAATGGTTCTCGGAGACAACTAATATAAGCACGTCATAAAAGTTTTTTCTTTTTTTTATCAAACGCGATATCGTCAGCTGCCTGAGAATCGGGTCGTTCGGTGTATCCATAAGAGACATAGGATTTGACGTCAAAATAAATTCGATCTCATCGAAGGAAAAAAAACCTACATTCTCCTGGTAACAAGGAGCAACATCTGTTCTTATGGAGCAGGTGCTGCTGATCGTAAAGCAGAGACGTGGCTCGAAAGCATCATGAGCTTGTGCGTGAATTCCAATGTGATATTATCCATTTCCTGTTCAAATTTACATTTCGCATAGATTTACATTTCACGAAATCAGGTTTACTTTCTTTTTTATTTCGGATGACTTTTTTCGATTTCGCATAAAAGCTTCGAATTCTCATTTTCGATAATCGATAGCCACGTGATATTTCGATTTATAGTTACCGATTGAGTGCCTTAGTCCTTAAATTTCTGTCTCTTAGAAAATGAATAATAAATTCCTTACACAGTTATTGTTACATGCGATAGCCGTGAGAGTCACTTTTATACATTACATTAAATTAGCCTTCTTATGGTGTATCTACCGTCCCACGAAGACTCACTCTCATGGTCGTTACGCGTGGCAAGGTGGACCTCTTCCATACCTGACTGATTTATTTTGCATACGTTGGCACACATAATTATTATCCACGCCCTGGCCCCTCGCTATCTGCACCCACCGACTAATTTCGTGGTGGTTAAACCACAAACAGCACTTCTGCGTCGAGAGAAAAAAAAATACGTCAAACAGCCCCAAGCCGTTTGCTATTTTTATACCAAATTAATTCTCAGCAGAGACATGAACGTGACTACCGTTTAATTTAATAATTCATGGCAACCCCACGGGACGGAACGAGCTTAAATGGGTTGAACTATTGTTCAACATCGTCACTGTGCGACAGGAGAGTTCTCGCAGACTCGATAGTAAAGCACATAGTCATGTAACATAATGTACATTGTCATATACACGAATAAACATACCATACAAAATTCAATTGTCCGTTGCAGTCTTCTGTTCGGAAGATTTCTTCTACCCTGTCTACTGAGATGAAAAAAAAAAAAAGTAAAGGAAAACATGTTTGCTCTTTCGCATACAGAATCTGCTTAACCCCTAGATGTTGACTTGTCAAACAACGTAGAAGCCCTCCTTCGTGCCACGTTTACAAGACAAATCTCTGGTTACGATCGCGAGCTCGACATTATTGGCGGGAAATTCATGCAGGCACATGGGAGCCAACGTGCAAGTCAGCTTATTTCTATTGATCTGATGATAGCCCGCGAGCCGAGGCGAGGCGCGCATGGCGACGCTGCGGCCACCTCCAGCCTTTAATCCGTCGTGACGCCCTCGACGTCGAGACGGAACAGAAAACCCTTCTCCACTTTAGCTCAGAGCCACTTTGCTACCTCAAGTCAAAATAAACAATTCCGTAAGGATTGTTCTCGATCCTGAGTATATAGCAGACGCGCAGCCCCAGCTAAGACTCTGTAGATCGCGAGTGAAAACCAAGTGTTACGTTCGCTGAAGGAAAATCGTGTAACTCTCAGTTCAAGTGACTATCGTGTTCAAGATACACACTGAATAAGGTCTTTGGGATTTCTTAATGGATTATGGATCTATCCTGAGACACTTCTTGAAATCTACACGAAGTGGAACACTTTCTCACGCAATCACTCCGTTCTTACGCAGCGTCATTGCGCTCCTACGTAATGTGCGTACAGTACTTGAATTTCAGTTATGAATTCGCGGGATTTTCTCCGTCACGTAGAAACGTGTCACGCATACTTCGCAGTGTATATGTGCGCAGAAATAGTGACTCTCGTGTCTCCTCGCGGCGGAAGTAATGATTTTCTACTCATCTTGAACATGGCACTGAGTCGTTTCCGCATTTCGAAAGTCAGTTGGGTACTTACCAGTCTTATACCTTGTGCCAGACCTCTGGCATAATTAAGCGTGCCGTGAAATAACTTGTGCGCGAGAGAAATGACAAACGTAGTTGACATGCGTATTTCTCCACTTTTTTTTTTCCATTCATAAATTCACGTAAGACGCCTGCGTGCAGATACGGTCAGGAAATTAATTTACCCTGAACTTACGTTTCTCATAACATCCCATGCAAATATCTGACGACTGTCGAATACTACGATTTTAAAAATTCCGAGTCAGTTTAATCTCGTCACGTGCATTCGCGTGGGAATATTCATAATCGTCGTCAATGTCATTCTCGTCAACCTTAACAATGCTTGCATGGTAGGAACATGACTACTTAATCCAACGCCTATTTTAAGGTCTTTGTTACCAGAGGAGAAAGGCTGGTATATAGGACTGTCAAGTGGTCGTAAATAGGGTGAGCTTTCAGGGGGTGGTTTGTAGGTTGAGAGGTATTACCGCAACCTGTCCTTAACATGAATCCTCATATTATACAGAACACTGCTGAGGGTCCTTTAGTTAGAAGGACTCGACGAACCGTTCGAATTTCAATGAACACCCCAAATTACCACGTTCATTCGATCGTTCCCTTGTCTGTTGCGTCTTTGGATATGAAATAAGGTTTATGGATCCTGGACGGTGTTTGCATAAGGATAAATAAAGATTGAGCATGCTATTTGACACGCTTTGTAAAATACTTCATGTACATTCCAACTCGATGGGTTTAGGAACTGAGAGTATATCTTTTAGGTCAATTTCACGGATGACAGTATGTACCCAATAACCGTTGTAACGTGTAAGCTAGAGTATAGTATCGAATCGCATTACGGTCTATGTATATTTTCCTATTTGCTCGTATACACATTGGGAAATGTCACGCGGATATTACTCCGAGTAACCTTTACACTCTAGAGCGAAAAGATAAGCGTAAGTGTATCTGTAGAGTAAGGAAGGTGCGCGCGATATGGATTACTTTGAAATGTCATGTTTCTGATGGAAGTATCGTATCTTAAAGAGCAAATGATTATGATGAATTTTATATAAAATTTTTAACAGTGAATATTTTTTTGCATCTTTTACAGAGAGGTCCGCACGGTCATCTTGAACAAGGGATCATCCGGCTTAGGATTTAATATCGTTGGCGGCGAAGATGGTGAAGGTATCTTTATCTCGTTCATCTTAGCCGGTGGACCAGCCGATCTCAGTGGCGAACTTCGTCGTGGCGATCAGATCCTCAGTGTCAATGGCATCAATTTACGAACCGCTACCCATGAGGAGGCGGCAGCCGCCCTCAAGGTAAATTATGGGAAATTAAATAAAAATATTGTGGAAGTGGGTCGCACTCTGCAAGGTGGAGAGAAAACTTATGAGAGAAATCCAAGCGTTCGAGATACACTCTCAATAAATTATACACTTTTATTATTCCTCAGGGTACCGGCCAAACAGTGACCATCGTGGTCCAGTATAAACCTGAAGATTATAACAGGTTCGAAGCAAAGATCCATGATCTTAAGCAACAGATTTCTCAGCAGAATATGATGACAAGCACCCTCATGAGGACCTCACAGAAGAAATCCCTCTACGTTAGGTAACTAGAGTACAAATAATAATAATAACGCAATACCATTAAACGATTCACTTATGCAAATCCTTCACTCTTTCAGAGCTTTATTTGACTACGATCCTAATAAGGACGATGGACTTCCGAGTCGCGGTTTGGCTTTTCGCTATGGCGAAATTCTTCATGTAACAAATGCCAGTGACGACGAATGGTGGCAAGCCAGGAGAGTCACTCCTCAGGGAGAAGAGGAAGGCTTGGGTATAATTCCTTCTCGTAGACGCTGGGAACGAAAGCAACGTGCCAGAGATCGTTCCGTCAAGTTCCAAGGACACATGCCCGTTATATTGGACAAGGTAGACATACAGCTTTTAGGAATAATCTTTAGTACCTACACTCTGTGAATTTCGATTTTCTAACGTACTCATTGGTGCAATTGCAGCAATCGACATTGGACAGGAAGAAGAAGAACTTTTCGTTTAGCAGGAAGTTCCCATTCATGAAGAGCAAAGATGACAAGTCCGAGGATGGTTCAGACCAAGAACGTGAGTATACCAAGCCGTCCAGGCATGGGACGTTCGTGCACGTTCGGAGCATGTTTAAACCCATGTGTTTACATGTTCGTCACATTTTGCCACTGATGTATCGTTTTTGTTCAACCCCGAAAAGATAAATAATATTCTGTTCATTTATGTAACAAAATTTAACTTCTAATGTTTTCGTTTGTCTTCTGTAATTTGCTAACAGTCGTGAAAACCTTGTTGAATGAATTTTAAAGAAGTTTGCCCACCCCTAATAAAAAAATTGTTCTACTTAATTATTCCACGACATCAGCTCTGTCACAAGTCTCAGAGTATATAAAAAAAATTCAATTGTTATTATTCGTCTATCTTTTCATTATTTCTGACTTGAGTGTTAATACAGAACATATCACTTTTTTTCGTGCGGTCTTATCCCTATGTCGAGACTTATATATATCCTCGTATGAATTGCCCAATTCCCGAATGAGCTTTTGTGTTTACCATGTGATACGTGACATGTGTTTTGTTTTGCCTGCTTGTGTAGGGTCGCCCACCACACCTGAGAATGAAAACGATCCTACGCGTAAGTATTTTATGTACAAATTTTGCCCCCTTATACGTTTTACACGTCTGCTTGTTCACCGCATAACCCTCGTGCACTGTTGTAAAATTCGTTGTATATTTAGTAATCTGACTCGCTTGTGAAATTCATTCGATATTATGTAATATACTGTATAAAGCTTGTCCCTATCTGCAGTAATAATCCAGCCACCATTTATACGTATAGGTTCTTTGATCATTTCGATTACGAATTATAGTAAATCTGAAGAAAGCTGGGAATAAACATTGATGAGATACACATTCATTACTGAAGCTTTCACGCGATTCAATTTCTCTAATTAGCGCTGATAATAATTATCACGAAAATGGAATAATTCACTCATGATTGAATTCAAATATTCTATACTATTCTCACACTCATATTGAATATCAAATATTTATCATCCTACGTTTCTAACTGTTAATGTACAGGGTGATTCAGCATAAGGTGATTCATTTGATTTTACGCTAATACAAAACAGACAGGAAAAAACGTTAATAAGGAAGTCGCGTGAGTTCAAGGAGAATCGTGATGTATTATTTGTATAAATTTTAAATTCGTCATTCTCGCAGTAGTGCAATTAATAACAAATGGAAGTCATATTATGTGCACGAATAGTAGTAGACGTGATGGAAACATAAAGTAACATAACATAACGACATCCTCAATGTCAAATTCATTCATGTATTTTGTCAGACGGAGATGATTTTGCTTCGAGATAGCGCTTTATTAATCCTGGCGTATTAATGCAGCTGCTTTTTCGCAATGTATACTGAAATATGAACTTATTATGTTCTAGCATTCATGCTGTGCTACACCCAGGACGACACTAACACTGAAGGTAATCACGTCTCTCATCTCCTGCACCAATTAACAAATTCGCGTTCATTAATATTGCCCAATCACGAGGCACTATTGTTCAAATGCTTTCACATTGTGCCGTATACCATCTGTCGAATGGCTTTGTGCACTTTTGGATCACACTTTATGATAATTGTTACATTGGTAACTTTCAATTATCGTGCAAGTGTCATATCTAGATAGTATTTTCACTATCGTACGGTGGCTTAGCAACGTGAAAATGTTATATGTCACGATGAACAAAATTGAGCCAAAGCCATTAATGCATTAGCTGTTATAACTATTGTTGCCCATTGTATTCATCCTCTCATTATAGTCAACATATGTAGGTCATCACGCAAATCTCAAAACAACGTCTTTCCTTTATTTATTTAAGATTTGTCTTCCGCCACAGGAAGTAAAGAAATTTTATATCGCGTTGAACTGCCCTATATGGAGGAACTGACTTTAGTTTATCTGGAAAAGGACGGTGATGAGAATAATGAGGAGCTTAGTAAGTCAACGTGTGCGGAGTGAACTATTCATAGACTAATATTACACATTGTATCTTACATTATTGCATAGGCTATAGTTAACTGCAATATTCTTAGAATATCGTTAATAATTTATCTGAAATTGCTTGGCGCAGTCGAGTAGCTGCGAATCGCTTGCTTTTTTGTCTTGCCACTAACACTTCCCCTCTCAGTAACGAGCGCTCGTATAATTAGGACATCATTCGTTGAGATGGACCGTCTGATAAGTATTGCGTTTGTCGTATTAATCAAGTCCTATTAACAATAACAAAAAACTGTAGTGCACATGTCGAACAATTTTAGATTTGAAACGTGACATTTGATATCGTACGAAAAGCGTATTTCAATCGATCATCAATCATGTATCCTAAGTAATGACAGTCACGGTCTGTAAGACTGTTAGAAAAGTTTTTGCTACCCGTGTGAATATATTCTTTCCTTTTTTCTTTGTTTTGAAGACTGACATCTCTAACATTTTTTAAACCCTGTCCTGCCGCGAGAAAGTTTACAAGAGGCGGATTTGTTTCGTTGAAATTCTGTATTTAACAAAATAGTTGTCATTGCAGGCAGCGAAGAAAATGTTCTTTCCTACGAGGCGGTGCAGCAACTTACCATTCAGTACACACGGCCTGTCATCATTTTGGGTCCTCTTAAGGATCGCATTAATGACGATCTCATCTCCGAGTTCCCAGACAAATTTGGCAGCTGCGTGCCACGTGAGTGATCTTTAATGTCATATAAATATATTCGCTGTCGAATAGTTTGTATAAATGCATTAACATTTCTTATAGATACGACGAGAAGTAAAAGAGAATACGAAGTAGACGGACGGGATTATCACTTTGTCGCGTCGAGGGAGCAAATGGAAAGAGATATTCAAAATCATCTCTTTATCGAGGCTGGACAGTACAATGACAATTTGTACGGCACGTCTGTAGCGTCTGTTCGAGAGGTTGCAGAAAAGGTATGTAGCACTTTTTAGAACTTTAATTTGTATGTTATAATTATATGAAATGGTTATGTCTAATTTGTTTGCATCGATTAGGGAAAGCACTGTATTCTTGATGTGAGCGGAAATGCTATCAAGAGGTTACAAGTCGCACAACTCTACCCAATAGCGATCTTCATTAAACCTAAATCTGTCGAGTCTGTTATGTAAGTGTTACTCGTTGTTGCCACTTCAGTGACACGAAAATCAAGTGCAGAGGTGTATAATAATTTATTGATGCCTTTGTGCAGGGAAATGAACAAGAGAATGACCGAGGAGCAAGCAAAGAAGACATACGAACGCGCTCTGAAAATGGAGCAAGAGTTTGGAGAATATTTTACCGGTAAGATACGACTTGCGTATTTTTATTGGCTTTACAATTCCATGCAGTATTATAAGCTGTTTATTGTTGTTTCTTACAGCCGTAGTGCAAGGAGACACACCAGAAGATATTTATGTTAAGGTGAAGGAAGTTATCACCGAACAGTCAGGACCGAACATTTGGGTACCATGTAGGGATCAGCAACTGTGACGTCCTGCCCCCCATGCTCATCCCAATCATAACGCTTGGACCCTACCTCCCAGGCGTAAAGATTAATTATTATTAATAAACCAATTAAGTAACACTCTAACGCCTTTTCCCCACCTAAGTAGCACAATGTCCTAGTTAAGGCGCGCGCGAAGCTCTTCGCTTCGAGTATAGAGTCTTAAATTTGCCACAAGGAATTTAAGAAAGATGAAAAAAAAATCCTATGAAAAAACTGTAATGTTCAGTCTCCCTCTCACAATCGTTAAGGATTATAACGCTGTGTGAATATCCTACTCGGGAATTATAATCCAAACAGTGTATTACAGCGTTACGCAAATGAGAAGTTTCGCTGGGATGAGTAAAACATGCGAGAATCCCGAGGGGGGTTGTGTTATTTTCTTTAATATGAAACGTATCAATAAGAAACATGACCGATACTCATCTTGGTACCGGAGAAATGTGATTCGGGTAGAGTTTATGAGAAAACTTTTCGAGCAGTCGAGTCGCGTATCTCTTATCGCTTCTATTAATCCATAACGTTTGACTCTGTGCATATCGCATCGTGCGGTTATCGCAATTGAGATAAAATAGCTCTCCTCGATTCTCCAATTTCTCTAGGTTTTTCTCATCCTAGTCGAATCCTGCTTGTTCGTACGTATCGAAATAACAGTGGCATAAGGAATGAGAACGACTGAGATAAAAATTTTACTCGATTATCTACTTATAACTGCTTTTATCCATTGACTGTAAGATGTTACTGAGTTGTCATGAATAAAACATGAAGAATAATATACGAAAACGAATAAAAGGATTGAACGCTACTTAAAGGAAAAAAAAAAAAACGTAGAAAACGAGGACAAGGAAATCACGGATAAAGATAACTGTTGTTATAATCGAGCCGAATCAAATTCGTTAAAGGGAAACCTCAATTGTCACGACACTGATTATTAATCGAGGGAGCGGCAGTATGATAAATGATTATAACGGAAATCAATTTCGAACACTTTTTGATAAAGATTTCTGGCTTCACTGACTCCTTATAGCTTGTCGTTTACATTTGAGTGAAGTAGCAGCGATATTTTTTAATGTACTTAATCGCATAGTGCGAATGACTTTATCAGAGTCTCCTGTGACGATAGCGGAAGTTTATCGCGAGAATGTATGTATCTGACCAGTACATGAGTTACTAACGTTACACTGTAATATGCGCGATGAGGTCATACGATTGTGTCTCGATGAATCGAAGGGAACGAATGACGGATGTAAAGGGAGAACCAAAAAAGAAAATGGAAATAAGAGGAAAACACAGAGAGATAATAAAATACTAATTCGCCGCACGAAGGTATGTCGTGAGGACTCGTGTACGCACTGTATGCAGTGTTCAATCGTCACGATTAATTGTAATTCGGACGTGTAACCTCACGATCTATCAAACCTCACAGGACAAATCTCTAGAGCTAGAATAGCGATATATAATGTTTTGTACAGCTAGAGGACTAAGCCAGTAATGGGTTACGTGCAACATTATATAGAGACACTATTGTAATTTAAATACCACTACTAAATTATTATAACAGTAGGTATATTACTGTAAATACCTATATCTGTATCGAGACGACATTGAAAGACGCAGAAAGTAAAATTTGAATGTAGGCCTCGGCTAAAATATTGCAAGTCCGTTCGCGATCCGCGCGACTCGCTGCCAATAATTAATATTAATGAATAATCTTCCGCGATGTACGTACAAATGACATATGACGACGTAGTGTATGACTCTGTTAGTGCATTTGTAAGAATTTTCATGAAACGATTGTCTAACTCATAATGGACGTAGACACTTTTTTTATGTTGATTTTTATGAACGACCGTGTCAGACAGCGGAGGGGAATTGAATGTCGGATAAACGTGAATCGTTGTTAGTAAAGCGCGAGTTTGCGCTGTTCACAACGGACTGTACTTACCTTACATGGAGGTGTCGATAATTAAAGGTAAAGATACAATAGATTTTTAGAGAGAAGAGTTAAATACAACTATTATTATAACAATTGTTTGTCAATTTAATTGTAATATAACTACATAATGGTAACAGATAGAATTATAATTTATACCGAAGGTCTGCGCAGTAGTTTCGGCCAATCTAACGTTTTCCAAATTAATGAAGCTAATGGATAATAGAAATAAACACAATATGTCATGAACGGTAAACACAGTTGCCTTTGCTATGCGAATTATAAACGTCTTCAGTTATTATCTAACGCGTAGTGAGATTTTTCTGTTGGAGCGAAAAGGAGCTTTGCGCAGGCATAAACCGTCGAGTTTACAGCATGCGATGGATCCTGAGTTACAGCTGCCCTATTAGAATGAGCGAAGTCGGTTATGAATTCGTGTGAAGTTGCATGGGAACGCGATGCATACGAGTAAAGACTAATGCGATGCAATAATTATACGCTGTGTGTCGTGTTCCTAGTGTAAAAGTTAAACTGAGGCCCAGAATTCACCAAGTAAAAAGATCTGTCTCGATATAACAGAGATGAACGTATAAAGAGAATAACTATTACAAAACACCTATTATGCATCTCTATAGTCTATTTAATAATATTACTTATTGAATTATCAATCTCATGTTCACCTTGTTTCATCGTTTTTAAATAGTTAATAAACGTTTTACCAATTTTACGAATTAGTCGTTACTCCTGGTAGTCCTTTTATTCCTGGTTTCATTATACAACTTCATTCCAGTGATCTTAACAATTTTATTATCATGCTGCAGAGTTCTGATAAACCTGTAGGATCAAACAATTGAATAATATATGGCCTCTTGTCTTTCTGGTACCGAGAAACCCTGTTTATGTTTGCGGAAAAGGAATTACAAATGTATATCACAATTCATTACTACGAAAGACTTGCTGGCGCTATTAAGGCTCGTTATGGCATTTTCCAAAGTTCATAAAAAATACAGTTGTCAATGGGAAATTGTTCTACGGTGCCAGGTCAAAATCCAGGAGTAGTGTTCACGAATACATTAGGGAGCAGACAAATATCTTGCTAGCCGATGAAGCTGATCCGGCAAGCTGAAATTTAAATATTAAAATATTAAATTATTGAAATAATTAAATTAATCAATTCATATATCATCAGGTATATATCATAAATCATGGCAAGAAGCTCTCAGAAGTACTGAAAATTGCGAAATTTGTTTGAACGCGGTCATGTCGCGCAGGACCGAAGAGTGGGGAGAGCGTTAAGCGGGTACCCATCCTTAAGGCGCTCATTCTTCCACGAGCCGGTTTCCTATATTGATCTCTTGGAGCTCCCGTCCTATCCATTTCCTTTCAATCCGTTTCGCTTTTCTTTCTTTCACTTCTATTAACACTGTTCTTTGTTCATTTTCATGCTATCTATTAGAATTTCAAGTACTTAATTGCTTTTTCGATATCATTTGAAATAGAAAACCTAATTTACTTTGTTGGCCAAGGGAAGTTAAACGAACAATAATATTACATACATTCGATGCGCAATGAAAAAATATTCAATGATTGTCACATTAGATTTCCAGAACATCTCTTCCTATCCTCTTCATTGTTCTTCTCTTACTCTTTCTTTTTGAATTCACTCTCTCTTTATACTTGTCTTCTACGAAGAGAACTAATTAATTTGGCGAAAAAATATAGTGATTCCTTCTTTCTTCTCACTGTGAGTTGTCGTGTCAATCATCAATTGTGACAGTCGGAACATCTGCGATTCAAATAGCAACTGCTGATACCATGATACAAATAGACGAGGTATAGCCACTAGCGAACGTATTTTGGTCCGGATTGTGCTGGTCCAATGACGTCACGTTCGAAGCCAACATGATGCCACTACATGCAACAACGCCGTCGCAAGATGCACAAAGCTACGCAAAGATGAGTAGGAAGATGCACCACGCTACGGTTTTAAGCGATATCAAAATAATGGCACTAAATCGTAGCGGCGAGTCTGGAAGTAGAATTTTGTGATCATCGCCTCCGTCGACAATGCGAATCCCGTCGTAGCCGAGCTAAACGTGAACACGAACGCGTAGCTTGGCGGGCAGAGGTTCTCCGCTACTTAACGCTGGTTCCCAAAGCTACCTTTAGAACGAGACCGTGAACTATAGAATTTCTCAAGAACTATTGAAAAAGCCTATTGTTGAAACATTCTTAATACACTTTTAAGAAAGTGCAGTGCCAACCTGACACACGTGTAGCACCTCAATTATTACTAAATATTATTGGATCTTGATTTACTTGAGGTTTTTCCCCCCTAGTCTTGCGCGCGATAGCCGCAGGACTCGGGGGTTTTCCTCAATAAAAAGAAAAAAAATGGTCCCCTATGGGGCCTCGGAGGGGTCGTTGCACCCTTGTGGAGAGGCAGGACCTCACGGAAATGGGCGAGGAGGGGCCCATTTCTCTCCCTTATACTTCCGACTTTTCCTAATTCTTCCACTGTTCTCTTATCTCGCTCCTCTAGTATAATCTGGTCTTCGTGTTGTAATGAGCCAAATGTTAATAGTAGTGACTTCCATAGGATAATAGCGAAAGCTAGTCCTGCTAGAGTTTATATTTCTTAAAATTTGTCCTGTTGCTGCCTGGTGTCGTCCCATTCTGTCTCGGACTTCCAATACGAGTGGACGTCACCAAGCAACACAGCAAGTCATACCTAAGGTAACAAGCAAAATTCTTAAATGTAATGAGCCAAATGTTAATAGTAGTGACATCCATAGGATAATAGCGAAAGCTAGTCCTGCTAGAGTTTATATTTCTTAAAATTTGTCCTGTTGCTGCCTGGTGTCGTCCCATTCTGTCTCGGACTTCCAATACGAGTGGACGTCACCAAGCAACACAGCAAGTCATACCTAAGGTAACAAGCAAAATTCTTAAAAGTTAGAGTCGTTGATTTTCATGTATATTTTTCTTCATAACTAAATGCAGGGTGTCATACAAAGATAGAAAGGGCTTTCATTTAAACCACTATATGAAATTATTGACGGAGATATTTGCCAATCGATGTGATCGCATAGGTCCCTGATAATTTGGACATCAACCAGTAAAAAGGAATATCGCAAACAATTCCTCCATAATTTTATCAACGATTACGAAGTACATCATGTTTTCGAAACAACGAGCAGCTAAGCGATATTATTTATTTTAGTTTGGTTTCTGTAATTTGTAATG